GTAGCTGGGAAATGTAGTTCCCTCCCCGCATCTCGCTGGTCTCCACAGCGACGCGACAGTCGCCACCCAGAGACTGCAGACCCCAGGAAGAAAAGGCGCAAAGGAGAGGTGAGGGACAGGCACCACCTGCACGACTGCAGCAACGGGAATTCGCCCGGCGGCAGCATCCACAAAGAGTCAGTCACATTAGGGCTCACGAGTTAGCATTGCTTGTGTTACTGAGCCACCGTGCCCCGTGTGCATGCCAAGTCAACCGTTCCACAGACACAGATCCTACTATGTGTCAGGTGGTTGCAGTGGTAAAAGACCTGAGTGTGAGTCACCGCTTAATTTAGATGCAGTTAAGAAAGGCTGTTTTGGTAAGAATTTGAGCGGGGGTGGAGGGGGCGCGGGCGGGGGTAAATGTTTTTATTTGAATGGGTATTGTGCAGTGCAGGTGTGTCTGTGCACAATGTGTGTGCAGTACTGTTGGCAGCCAGAAGAGACAATCTTGGGTTCCTGGGACTGGAATCCAACCCATGTCCTCAGGAGGAACAGTGGGTATTTTAACCCCTGAGCCATGTCTCTACAGGCAAGCCATTTTTTTTAAGTGACTTTTAATTTTATTTTATTTTGGGTACCCAGAAGAGAGCATTAACCCAACTCCAGAGGAATCAGAAGACATATCCTAGAGGTCTAGGCGGGCATGTGAAGTGTAGTTGAGCCCGATTCTTGGTGGTTTGTGTGCTTCCTCCAATATCTGCCAGCCTCAAGCCTGTACAGGTAACAGATAGGGGAACTGTGATTTCTCAGGCTGCCCTACCCCACCCCAATACAAATGTTGGAGACTCACAGAGATTTAAAAAATAGTAATAACATAATTGTTAACATAATTAGCACTTGCCCTTTACAGATTTTGAGTTTCCCATACACTGGCATTTGAGCCTCAGGTCAAAAAATTGAACAGGAGAAAAGAGAAAAATTAAGGATTATATTAAGTAGGCTTTTTCCCAGGGATGGTTCAATAAATGTAATCCATCCTATAAACAAACTGAAAGAAAAAAAATCTGATCATCTCATTAGATGCAGAAAATGTCGTAGACAAAATCCTACACCCCTTCATGGTAAGATTGGGGATACAAATGACATACCTAAACATAAGAAAGGCAGTTTACAGCAAGCCTATAGCCAACATCAAATGGAATGGAGAGAAATTCAAAGCAATTCCACTAGAGTCAGGAACAAGACAAGGCTGTCCATTCTCTCCATACTTGAATTCTTAACTAGAGCAATAGACACCTGAAGGAGACCAAGGAGATAAAATTTGAAAAGGAAGAAGTCAAATATCTTTATTTGTGCATGATATGATATGCATAAGTGACCCTAAAAATTCCACCAGGGAGCTCCAACAGCTGATAAACACTTTCAGCAAAGTAGCTGGATACAAAATTAACTCACAGAAATCAGTAGCCTTATCAGATAGAAACATCAAACAGACTGAGAAAGAAATCAGGGAAACAATACCTTTCACAATAGTCTCAAATAATAGAGAATATCTTGGGGTAACTATAACCAAGCAAGCAAAAGAAAGACGTGCATGATTAAAGCATTAAGTCATTGGAGAAAGAAATGGAGGAAGATATCAGAGTTGGAAAGATCTCCCCATGCTCTTTTATTAGTAGGATTAACATAGTAAAAATGGCCATCCTACCAAAAGTAATCTACAGATTCAATCCCCATCAAAATCCCAACACAATTCTTTTTTTAAGATTTTATTTATTTATTATGTATACAACATTCTGCTTCCATGTATATCTGCACACCAGAAGAGGGCACCAGATCTCATAAGTGAGCCATCATGTGGTTGCTGGGAATTGAACTCAGGACCTCTGGAAGAGCAGCCGGTGCTCTTAACCTCTGAGCCTTCTCTCCAGCCCCCCCAACACAATTCTTCACAGATCTTGAAAGGAAAATCATCAGCTTCATATAGAAACAAACAAACAAAGGATATGATAGCAAAACTGCATAACCAAACAACTGCTGGAGATACCACCGTCCTGATCTCAAATTGTACTACAGAGCTATAGTAATATAAACAGCATGGTTTGGGCACAAAAGAAAAGACATGTTAATCAACAAAATAAAATTGAAGACCCACACATAAATGAACAAACCAATGAACACTTGATTTATTTTTTACTAAGAAGCAAGAAATACACACTGGAAAAAATGCAGCATCTTCAACAATTGGTGTTGATCAAATTGGATGGCATATTTTGGGGAACTACATGTCATGAAGCATATTGGAATTTCAAAAATGTTCAAGTCTTCAAATCAGTGAGATAGTTAAGAATCTTACGTGGCATGCAGTTGTCTATAGCTTGAACAAGATTTCAAGAGTCCATTAGGCCTTAATAAACAGTATTATGTTTACTGAGAATTAGAGCCTGAGGCATAAAAAAGTGTTTGTGTTCTCCACCACACCATAGCCCCATTCCTGATCTGGTTCTCTCAGCTGAAAGGAGTTGTGTAAGCTTTATAATTATTTCATTGCTCTAAGTGGAGTGTCTACTTCTCATTTTTTAGGATGTTTGGAATATGTTAAATAATTTCAAAGAGCCAAATATACCGGTTTGATGAAACAAACATTGAAAAACCTTTCTTAAGGTTTGTTTTAGCTTGTGTTGCTACAGCAATCATAGCTTAGACGGGGTAGTTAAGTAACAAACCTTTAAGGAACTGAGATGTAACAGGACCTGGGTTTTGTAGTTAGCACTACAAAGCAAAACACAAGAACAATGAGACATTTGTCACAGTGGTAGAGGTCAGAAAGCTAGGAAGGCACTGCTGGGTGTCATGTCAGGTAAGGGCTACTTCCTGGACCTGTGGACACCAGCTGCCTTTTCCTTGTCCTTATGAGATACAAATAGAGCATCCTGTTCTCCCCACCACCTCTTGCTCTCTTTTATAATGCAGACATTAATCCAATTGTGGATGTTTCACCCTCATTGCCTAATTACTTCTGAAGGCCCCATCTTCAAATACCATCATAGTGGGATTTCAATACATAACTTTTGGAGTGATACAATCAGCCATTAGTAGAGGCTAAAAATATCTCACTCAGCATTATTAAGTCAAGAATCCTAAATGCTTGACATGTATGAGAATACACTAATAAATAACAAGTTATGTTTTTACTAATATATATAATATATACATATATGTGTGTATATATATACATAATATATACACACACACAATTTTTACACAATTTTAAGTGTGTGTGTGTGTGTGTGTGTGTGTGTATGTGTGTGTGTGTGTGTGTGTGTGTACATCAGGGGCACATGTATATGTATACACACAAGCATGTGAAAGCCTGACTTGAACTACTGCTATTCCTACCTCTTTCTCCTAAGTGCTGGAATTATAGGTCATTGTACCCTGTCTCCTCATGTATGTTTGAATAGAGAAGTTTCTAAGAGAAAAATGAAGTTTTTGTAGTTTAAGAATTTTATAATCTTATAAGTATATGTGTTTAAAGATGACAACTTGGGATTGCATTCTCCTCCTCTTAACAGTCAATAGTTGCCTCTAACTCTTCACCAAGGGGAAACTCAATGAAGCCAGCAGACGGCACTCACATGCACATGTGTGTATGTAACAGTAGAAGAAAACATCATGAATTGAGGGAGACACACAGGAGGAACTGGAATGGGGAGAGAGCAGGTTAGAAATGTTATAAATATAGTACTCACGTATGAAATTCTCAAAAAATATTTAAATAAAATGACAAAAGGTTTACAAACTTTTGCCTTATTTGAAATATGAATATTGTAAGAAAAGAGAAGTGCACAAATACTTGTTTGTATAAAAAAAAATCTAAACTGGTACAGCCTGTGTAACTTCCAAGCAAGAAAAATACTAAAGTGTGTTTGTATCAGAGAATGTTTATTTTATGTCTAGCTAAGAACAAGCAGCAACATTTTATTATACTGAGATAATAAGATCATCTACTTAATCAAATAGATTTTTATCATATTAATTATATTATAATCAATATATGTAATAAAAATATACAGAATTTCTCAAGATGCCTTTTGGAAGAGCCAGGAAGGGCTCTCCAAATCTTTCTGAATGGGGCTGCTTCTAGGGTTACTTGCCTGTTTCATATGTCTATTTTCTTAATTTTTATTTTAATATGCTGATGCATTTATCTAATTATTCTTTATCAGTTTAAAAATTGGGAGTCGGATATCAAGGTAAAGAACCGGAATGATCAGAGGAGTGATAGAGAAGCCTCCAGTGACCTCCTATCTTTTTGGTTCCTCCATCCAAAAGAGCTGAGATCCTTTCTCAGCCCTTACTATTTCCTGCCTTACTACTTCCTGTCTCCTATCTGTCCTCAGTCCTCCAAGCCTCTATGATTAATTTTAGTCACCTAGGGGCTAGCTCTGCCCTCTGACTCAAAGCAAACTTTATTGTCAGAAAGCAATCAAAATATCTTACAATGTGTGTTGGCTTGCATGTAAATATGTGCACTGTGTGCATGTCTGGTACTCACAGAGGTTAGAAGAGGGCTTTGGGACATTTGGAACTGGAGTTTCAGGCCATCATGACTGTCATGCAGATGATGGGAAACAAGCCTCGGTCCTCTGCAAAAGCAGAAACTGCTGAGCCATCTCTCCAGCTCCTCTTTCTACATAATTGAATTAAACCAGAAATCACTAACACAAAGATAACAGCACCCATACCCACCAAAATATTTAAAGAATGCATTCTGATTAACAAATGTC